CCGTTTAGCTCAGTGGCTAGAGCGTCAGGCCGCGAATGCCGAAGACGTAGGTTCGATTCCCATAGCGGCGACAATCTTTTCGCACTTTTTCTACATATTTTAATGTTCAATCTTAAGTGCAAAGATTAGCACTATAAACAATTTAAATTTATAAAGACTCATATTTGTGCCATTTACAAGTTTATTGAACAATATTTTGAGTGTTGTTTTTATGTGGTAGATTCTCGTAGCTTCTGCAAGAACCGGCAGTCGCTTCCTGGGTAGTACCAAGACCTCGTAAAAGACCGGCTTGAAGTAAAAGCATTAAACTGTCGCGTTTCCTCTGGTGGATGAGGTAACTGCGCCTACCTTTTTAAAGGTTGTCAACGCATTAGCAAGCCGTCGGGTGTAGCAGATGTCCATGGGTGGCGGTATTCACTTAACATCAATTGAACCGCGCACTATACGAAATACACCCTCTGTGAAAATATCAACTGTCTAACTATCACAGTTCATGAGATACAGCCTGGTGTCAGCCGGGCAGACAGTCACACAGACAGACAGACATACAGGTCTGGGACGGGACCCAATTACTAAATAGGGTCCCGTTTCCTTTCCTTGCCCTGTGATTAAATTAATTTGAGCGCGTAAAATTCTTACCCAAATCCGTTGTACGTTTCTCGTGATTCGAACCGAGGACGAGCTGCGTCTATTTTTAATATCACCCGCTGCCCACCCCAAGAGATTAGCGTGAGCATTCATCATCCTCCACGCGGTACGCTAACTAGAGTATTAATGCAAAGCCGCCTAAAGCGCGGCCACACTCATTCATGCGCTGAAGCGGAAAGAATATTAATTAATGTTCAATAAAAGCAAACTGAAAGTATGCCTTACAATGTATATATATATAATCGGTATAGGTTCGGAAACGGCTCCAGCGATTTTCAAGAAATTTAGTATGTGCGTAGATTCGGGGGCAAAAAATCGATCTAGATAGGTTTCAATTTTTCCGAAAAATTTACCGTCATATTTGAATGATATTTTTCATTCACTGAAAATAGGGATAAAAGGACATTTTCTAAAAATGAAACCTAGCTAGATCGATTTTTCGCCCCCGAATCTACGCACATACTAAATTTCATGAAAATCGCTGGAGCCGTTTCCGAGATTCCGATTATATATATATATATTAGGATAAGATTTACACAATTATTTTTTTACTTTTTTTTTCTGTACCAGATCTGTACAGATTTTCTCTATTTTTTATTTTTTTTATTTCCAAAATAAATGATTTACCAAAGAAAACCTCCAGAAAAAAAAAACGAGCAAAGCTCGGTCCTCCAGGTACTTTGATATATTAGTCGAACGCCCCATGCGCCTTACATTGTACAGCACAGTACAGTTCATCGCAAGCAGCTAGCGAACGCACACTGTCGTGTGAATATCTTGTAGATTTAATAATAAATAATATATATAATAGTAGCGTAGTATTTATCTGTATCTCCTCGTCACTATAGGGAACACAAAATAAACTATAACCCTATATTGGTGCCCGAACGCGAACTTTGAAGTGAACACGTTATTGACTTTATATAGTGTGCAACCGTGAAAATGATTTCGCAACACCAAGCCGCGCCAGCCACGCAAGCCGCGTCGCCCGCGCATCCCATCAAGCCAGAGACAGCGGCTGCGTTTCAAGAGCAGTTTAAACCTAGCCGCCTTACCCCTTAGTTCCAAAATACCTGATTTTCGGAAGGACCAGTCTAGAATATGGTTTATCCAACTGAGGCCATATTGTCTCCGCAAAAATTAGGTGATGGAGCCAAGTTCAATGTGGTCGTGTCTGAGCTTGGGAAAGAGGAAATACAACAGGTTACCGATATTTTGGTCAACCCGCCAGCGGCCGGTTGCGGCGTTGAAAGCACGCCTTATCGATGTCTATCAAGAGTCCGAGAATGCAGAGATGCGCAAACTTTTGGTAGACATGCAGAAGGGGATCAGCGACCGTCGCAACTACTACGGTGCATGCAAAACTTGGCAAGGGGCAAGTTACCAGATAAAACGTTACAGCGAAGACTCCGTGGCGCAGTTGCCAAGGTATTGGCTTCTTCGACGGGGGTCGTGGGTTCGATTCCCACACGGGACAACTATTTGTGTGACCCACAGATAGTTGTTTCGCATCTGGGTGTTTGTCCGCGTGAAATTTATGTTTGTAAAACGTCCATTACAACACAGGATAATATTATCCTAAAGTAAGGGCAGTGTTTCATTTCTTAAAAAAAAAAAAAGCTACTATGGCTGGACCATTTTCCTTCACCGGCACGAGCGGTCCTTGCTGCCACTGACACAGAAGACACTGATAAATTGGCCAACATTGCTGATAAATTTTTGGAAACCACTAAACCTTAACAGTTGCGGATAGCTCAGGTGTCAACGAGTAGCACGGACTACTGCAGGAGATTTCCAAAATTACCGCGAGGCTTAATAATATGGACAGGCCAAAGTCACAGCAGCGCTACAACCGTCGTGAAACTTTATTAATGTTTTTGTAGAAAAAAGGAACGAAAAGTTTCTCGCCAGTGCGGAAATTGAACCCTCTGAGTCTGAGTTTTCGGGATTCGCACCCTGACGCTTTAGCCACTAAGCTAAACGGCTGATTGTCACACCGACGAAATTCTCAACGTCCTTTTATCTACTTTGTTTTTTAGCATTTGAAGCAATGTTTGGCGCATCCATTGTTATATGTATCCTTTCCAGTATAAAAACAGTTTCGAATATCGTTTTAAAACGATAATACGAACGAGAGATGTTGCCATTGCTTGGCAGTATAAAATTTTTTATATATCATTTAATACATCAGGGATCATTTCTTCATTCACAGTAGAAAAAATTATACTAAAATAATAGTCCTGATATTTACCATTTCTTAGATATGCAGATTTTCTCGTCAAACCGTGGTGAATCAAAACTGTTTTGTGATAAGGGGGCAAGCGGGTCGGTTCACCTGGCGCTCAGTGATTGGTCGAAATCATGGACTATCATTCCAACAATCACAACATCGACTTCAGGGCTGCATTGCGTTGTCAACCTTAAGGCTGTGTTGTTTTATCATCCTTCAAAAGATCGATCTTCTGTTAGACGATGAATGAATGATAGGACGTGTGAATAGTTTTATTGTCCACTAGAAATGAAAGGATACACAAAATTAACAACAAAAAAAACAATACGGAATGTACAATATGGCGGCCTTATCGCTTCATAGCGTCCAGGCGTAAAGGAACGTTTACTACGTAGGTGGTGCAATAGTAGTAGTAATATTTACATAATATAATATTATTGTAATACATACATAATACTAGCGGCCCCAACAGCCGTCCTGTAAATAAGTTTTAAATCCGACAACAACTTATAAATAAAAGAAAAAAAAACAAAAAAAATCGAATTGTGAATCTAAACCATTCTCGAATCGACCTAAAGACACACAAAAAATTTCATCAGGAGGAGTTCAGTGACATACACACCAACCGAAGTATTATATATATATATATAAAGATACAACTAGGGATCGAACCCACGACGAGTCAGCAAATTGACGATTTCATTTCTACATACGACGGTTTTAAACTAAGGTTGTGCTACGTATACCAGATTTGAAGGCGTGCGCCCGAACACTGCGGTGATAAGTCTTGTTTATCTCAAATGTTGCAAATGTTAAATAAAAAAAATTAAAAAAAAATTCATGGGCGGCGGTAATCGCTTGTCCTCAGGTGACCCGAGTGCTCGTTGGCCTCCTTTTTTCATTAAAAAAATTCGAGGGCCGCTCCGCCCGTCACTATGGCAACACACTAAGATCAAAACCAGCGACCCATTACGCGTAAGCCTCTCAGAATCCGTCTCGTCCTGACGGAATTATTATCGTATTTTTTTCCTCTTGACCCCCCGAGCTTATAGCCGGGGCAGTTTGGAAAATGACGTAGCCAAGAAGCTTAGCCATAATTAGCGAAACGAAACAAAGAGCTACAAAATATGCAAAAATATTATGCTGAGGGTAAGAGCACAGTTTGGCTGATCCCCGTGTTTGGCACGAACCTCTATGCTTTTACATGGAGAATATTTTTATATCAGCCATTGTTCAGCACGAGATGTTCCCTTCAACCGATCGCTATTAAAATTAACACAAATAACTATTCGAGTATGTAAAACATCTATGTACGCTGTATGTATGTAGCATCTGAAATATACATTTAAATTAAAAAATATTTATATATTAATGATAAATTAAATTATTTAATTTAAATTGAGTACTTTAAACATTCTTTTATAGTTTTACTTCAACCGCGTGTAAAGTTTACACGCACTGTTTTATTAGACACAAGATGGCGCTGTACCAATTTCATTTTTGCCGTTCAAAAATCGAAATTAAATCAGTGTATATACAGCGTATATACAGGCTTTTCTAAGTGTATCCCCTTTTTTTATTAAATTCAAGACATAAAATAATGTTATATAAAAATGATAAATATTTAAAATCACTCGTAAATAATTAATTACATATCTCAAAAAGTGCGTGATTTTTACGCAATTCGCGAGGAAAATAAATTTTCCTCGCGATCATTCATAACTAACACGCACACAAGTTCGTGCACAGTAAAATTTAGATATTTATGAATGACTCGTTCTGTTTTTTTTGGGAAAAGAATGGCATTTTTTTTTTAAAGTTTGTTTTTTATTTCAATAAACGATTACACTACCGAGTCTGAACCTCCTGTGTAAATTTGGGCAATTTGGGTGATATCTTACTACACTTCAGCTAGGATCCACTTCATTAAAAGGTGTTAACGCATCTGAAACCCTACGGGTGATGCAAATGTCCATGTGTGACGGTTGTCACTTAACATCAGGTGAAACACGCTTGCAATCTTCTCACATAAAAATAATTACAAGTGAGCGTCAACTCAGCTATCCCAGCTCCTCTGGTACACGGTCTGTATTCAGGTGATTTCTCACAGCCCCCCTTGCAGGTGTCCGCCTGGGTGACGGAGCTGGTGCTGGCCTCGCCGCCCGAAGAGCGGAAGGCGACCCTCGCGTGCGTGCTCAGGATCGCGCTCACCTGCTGGAACATCGGCAACTTCAACGGCGCCATGGAAATCGTCGCCGGGCTCAAGTAAGTGGCGGTCAAATTCAGATCCATATTCAAATTCAATTATTTATTTGCCCTATACAGCGTGTCGTTACCATCGCGACAATAAATGAACACACGTCTAACGCTACTTGTCAATTATCATAAAAAAATATTAACGTTAAACAAAATCCATAATTATTTTTTTTTTGAAAAGATTCTAATTAAGTAAAAAAGAAACAAAATTTGTAACATCCTATACAACTCGCGCCACAGCGTCGCATTACAAGCCTCTCCTTCTAACAGTATGTTTTCTCTCTTTTAAATTCATTCAACCGATTCATATGCTTTGTGATCTTTACGAATGAACTTTACGTTAAAGTTTTATACGTGAGAGTGTTCTAAAATTCTTTGTTTTGGAAAATTTAATAACTCTTTAAATATTGATGTTTAAAGAATGTAAATGTTTAATACAATTTTAAAAAGTTATCCCCTACATGTGTGTTCATTTATTGTCGCGATTGTAAAGACACGCTGTCTGTACTTTAACCTATTTAGCTGTTTAACAGCATGCATATTTAGCTTTAGCAATTGAATTGCGGTGCAGTCATCAAATTAAGAAAATATATAGTGATAGTATATAGAGTAGTGAAAATATATAGAGCCGTGATAGCTCAGTGTCCGGACGCTCGCCTTTAATTCAATACATACTCGAGCAACCTGAGTTCGATCCCCGGTACCGGCACCAATGAAGTTTTTAACTTTAAGTGCTGAATTATCACGTGCTCCGCGGTGAAGGAAAACATCGTGAGGAAACCTGCATATTTTCGAAATAATAACAAAAAAACTGTATTTCGAAGATATGTGAAGTCCGCCAATCCGCAGTGGGGCCGCGTGGTGGACTATGCCCCGATACCCTCTGTATAGAGGAGGCCTTTGCCCAGCAGTGGGATATGTATAGGCTGTTACTTTACTTTACTTTTAGTGATAGTATTTGACATAATAAAATCGATATTTTGTCCCAGTAGTTATAAATGCCAGTACCATTATTGGGGCGATTCAGCTCTTTCTTCAGAGACCTAGAGGTCGAACTCCTAAACGGTGGTCTGATCGAATTCACGAACTTCTGGGCATCCTTGTTAGAGTAACACTAAACAAAGTGACGGAACACAACCGATGGAGATAGACCACCGGTGAAGAACTTGAGGTGACGATCCTCAGTGATGAGGGCACGATTAAGAAAAAGAGCAGTTCTCTCCAATTTCGAGCACCGCATGTTAAGTACCGTATGGAACAACCTGCCGGCGTCGGTCTTCCCATCCGATTACAACGCACCCTTTCCATCATCGGACAACCAGGCGTTCGGCGGGGCTCCATCCTTATGCTGTCAACGTTCCACGTACAAGAACAAAGCGATTCGCTTCTTCATTTATCATCCGTACAGCTAAGGAATGGAATAGCCTGCCTGCGTCCGTCTTTCCTTTCAAATACAACGTTGGCGTCTTCAAGGCAATAGTGAATAGGTTTTTACTGAGCTAGCTCGCTTACCATCCACGGCTGCATCGCCACTTACCATCGCGTGGGATGGCAGTCAAAGGCTAGTCAGTTCCATATATAAAAAAGTGGATACGCGACCTTACGATCAATGTTTTAAGAAAGATGGCGCGGCGTTTGAAAATGTTTTCGCTTTACACTATATGACATAATATAAGTGAATGCGACAGATGTTATAGGACGTATGATACGGAAAGAGATAGCAGTCTGCTGAATTGCAATTTAATTACACCAATTGGCGTAATTTGAGTGCCTCAGTTTCGACGTGCTAGTGTCATATCTGCCTCGTATTTGTATATAATATCGTTGTCTATCTTATATATAAAATTCTCGTGTCACAATGTTAGTTACCATACTCCTCCGAAACGGCTTTACTGATTTTTACCAAATTTTATATGCATATTCAGTAGGTCTGAGAATCGGCTACTATATATTTTGTCCGTCTTTCAACAAGGCTGCATCGCATGAACCGTGATAGTTAGGCGGTTCAAATTTTGTATATGGGAAATTTTAATGTGCCTCGACTGTTGCGTGGCCCTACCGTCCCTATCGTTCTCCTACCAGGTGGAAGAAGAAACAGAGGGAGAAGGGAGAAGAGCGAAGAGTTGAGTGGGACACGCAGGGGTTTCTTTCGGCCTTCAGCTGTCCAGAGACTGTAGGCCGGCGGAAACTACTTGCGCGTCCCACTCGCGATCGACGATGATCAAGGTTCGAAGACAAAGGAGAAGTTCATGAAGAAACAAGAGATTTTTTCCTTCGTATAATGAATTGATCAATGTATATTGATTTCTTGATGTTACGCGAATATTATACATATCAAATGAAACTAGCTTACGGATTTGGTCGTTTTTTCTTTTATTTTTTTAATTAATCAAAAAAATATACAAAGAATATGCTTATCGTATTGAAAATCTTCTAAGTATACTACTAATTTACACGTAAGCATTATACATATTTACTAAGTGTTACAATACACATATAAATATTTATAAATTGATTTTATAATCCCGGCGTTTCGAACCAATTCCAGCGTTTATGGTCATTTCCAGTCTATCCCACGACATCTGAAACGTCCGGAGATATAAAATCAAAATGAAAATATAAAATCCGTAAACTAGTTTAATTTAATAAGTACCTGGACGACCGAGCTTAGCTCGGTTTTTTTGGTAAATCATGTATTTTGGAAATCAAAAAAAATAAAGAAGATGATCTGGTATAGAAAAAAAAGTGTGTAAACGATCGTGATACGAACCGCGGCCGTCTGTTGTGGTGCCGCCCGATTACCGACCGAGCTATTATAACATATTTTTTTGCGGCAAAATTTACCGTCATATTCGAATGATATTTTTCATTCCCTGAAAACAGGGATAAAAGGACAATTTTCTAAAAATGAAACCTCCATGAAGCCCCCGAATCGCACATACTAAATTTCATGAAAATCGCTGGAGCCGTTTCCGAGATTCCGATTACATATATATATACAAGAATTGCTCGTTTAAAGGATAAGATTAATACATGTTTGTTTTTATTAAAATGTGGTATAAACTACCACACGATATCGATAGTTTTAAAGTCCAATTAACGCTATTCAATTTGGCTAAGCGAATTGTTTAGAAAAATTAAGTGCAAATTGTGGGTAATAATGTTCGCTGCAACTTTTAAAGAACCCAAATTGATTAAAAGAAGTTCGACCTCAACTTTGAATTTGTCTTTCATTTTGGCTAGGTTTCGTCTCTGACTTTGGCTCTGTCCAACATCCAACTGACAACAATACAACTGACATTGTCACGACAAAGCTTTTATGCGAAACGACGCAATGAACAACGGTCAAAGATAAATCTCGTTTAGCGGAGATTTTAGTATTAGGGCGTTTTTCCCCACGTTTTCACGACGAATGCCGCTATGAACAGCTTATATCATGCTTATATAAGTATATACTTAAGCCTAATTTCGCCGTCTCCAATTTTACTTTACTACTTTTTTTTGTTATTGAAGTTATACTTTTTAGGCGCGTTATGAAAAAATGATGAGGGTGAAATTTTAAGACGCGCGCATCACTGTAACACAAAAGTCACACCTTTAAAGGTGCCCGCTAAACCGCTTATTTTTTTATACATATGGTAGCATATCGTCAATCACTTTCGCACGTTGCAGTTCTCAATAAAGAATGTAGATGGCGCTTTCATAGTTTTATTATTTATATATTGCAACAACCGTAGGGTTGCAGATCGGGTTGCAGATGCATTACCACCTTTAAATAACGCGGACCCCGGGTACTTCACTCACCACAGACGAAACGCAGAAGTGTTACACTTCCACTTCTGTGAGGTCGTGGTACTTACCCGGACGGACCTGCCCATTCGTGCAACAGTGTTGCGTGGCCCTACCACCGTTTACGGACTCGATTTGTCAACTATCTCCTACCGCTATCAGATTGATGGCACTTAAAGCGAGCCTCGCTGTGAGCGATTCACGCTTAAACCGAGGTCATAAATAACTCAAGCTGCTAAGTGCCCTGTCGCTTCTTTCCAGCGGGAATCATTTATCATAGACCAGCTTTTACGCGCGGCTTCGCCCGAACCCCGCGACGTTGAACAGTCTCGAGTGCTCTAAGACCTTCGAATTGACACTATTAAATTTAACTTTGGTAGGACCAAGTAACAGTAACTGTGGTAGAACCACCAATAGTGTTCCGGGTTTGCAACCCTACGGGTGTTGCAAATATCCATTGGTGGCGGTTATCACTTAACATCAGGTGAACCGCCAGGTTTTGTTACTTTCTAACATTAAAAAAATCAAGTTCCCGGCAGATGGTAACAACAATTGCTTCCACAAGGGTATGAAATCAGTTGACACCAGCGGTTTCACCGTGACGACATAGGTTTTTTGAAGTGAAAACTTATTTAGGCACTTAATAACTTCTTTGAGCACTTTTTATTCTTTTTTTTAAAGCGAAAAGTTGCCAAACGAACAGACGGTTCACCTGTAGTTAAGTGAATACCGCCACTATCCATGGGTTTTGCTTTGGAAAATTGGGCTCCGTCTACCTCACTCACCAGACGAAACGCGAAAGTATTTGTCATACTTGCACTTTACGCTGGTCTTCTGTGAGGTCGTGGTACTTACCCGGACGGGCCTGCCCATTCGTGCAACAGCCGAGGCTGCTGCGTGGCCCTACCACAGTAGTCGGTACCTGAAGAAGAGAGACTATTATTTGTTAAGAGCTAATATAGTAAACATCAAGTTCGTTGCAATACGCGCAATATAAAGAGGTACGCGGCTGAATCTTCGTGAAAAGCGAATCTGTAAAATTTTTAATATTTATCCCGGAATTTGTAGGTGAATTTGTTATTGTGGTAAACGTTTGTTATTGTTAAGTCTTAGTAGTAGGGTCCCGTTTTACCCTTTGGGCACGGAACTCTGAAAAAAATGTCCCTTTGATATTCTTTCGTCGGTTCTTCTCAGCTCTGCGGCTTTATGATAATCAATAA